TTTATTTTAACAATTTCAAATATTACAATATGTATAATAATCAATTTGAGATTCCTTTAATCAATATATTATAGTTTTAATTTTTTTTAGCATTTTGTTTGTATAAGTTAATTCAATATTTGTTTTAATTATATTTTGAAATATTATAATTGTTTAATTTTTGAAGATACCTTTTTGATCATTTTACATTTTCATCAGTTAGCTTTATCAACATAATTTATTTATCAGCTAATAGTTAATTGAAGAATCATATAAACAAAGATAGCTGGGTAAGTGCTTACCAAGTAACATTACCTCACTGGATGAATACGGTAAGGACCAAAAATCTTATCCGGTAAGAGCGAGACAAGGACCAAGAGCCTTACCCGGTAAGTGAGAGCGACGACTTTTAATACAATAGACGCTTACCGGGTAAATTGTTGCATACGATGTTGTTTTAGTGGACTAAAATCTTACCCAATAAATAAATAATAATGTTAAATTTTACCCGTAAACATTCAATAGGTAAGTGTTTAGAAACTAAAATATCTGGGAGACAACTATTATTAGTAGTAAAGAAAAGCATAAAAGGTGGATGTGAGTGTTGCCATTAAATAATTAAGCGACAGCAACCGACCTGATTGCCAACGGGATTCTTTGAATTGGTTTAGACCCTCACCTGCTACTGCTTCAAATCTTCAATCCAATTCAAATTGCATCTACTTTCCCTCTCTAGATCCGATTGCCAATTGCCATGCCTTCAAGAAGAAGAACGCTGCTGAAGGTCATCATTCTTGGCGACAGCGGGTTTGTAGTTTTTCTTAATCGAGTTTCCTTCATATTAATCCAAGTCGTGAATCTTTTCATGATGGGTTGTTGATTCGATTTGCTTGATTATCTCAATGATTCAATTCAATAGGAGAAAGAAAGTTTACTTTGACTTGTGTAGTGGTCAAATTGATTGAATTTCTTTTTACTAACCTATCTTATACAGTTCGAAGTACTACAAATCCGTGATGTTTTCTGCTTGGGATTGTGTGTGTTTGATTCTCTTTCATATGAGTGTTTATAATAATTGCTTGCTCTTGAAGAATCAATTTGATTCGATGTCGTATGTTTGAAAGTATCACAGATTTGAGTTTATATCACCTCAATTCCCAGAAATTGGTTTCAATACCTTGTATGGAACTTCGTTTAGTCAGTATGGAGACGGTCTGTTAATATCGTGAATTTTGCTTAATTGTATCCTCTGTTTTGCTTACCAGACTGTTATTTGTGGGTGATGCAGGGTCGGTAAGACATCTTTGATGAACCAGTATCCTTCATTCTTAATTATCATATTTGTAATTTTTTTATTTACTTGGCATACAACGACTTCTTGTACAGTCACCTCCTTTTAGATCTCTTATGATCTCTGAGAAGTAATGCCACTGTTGGGGTGTTAATGGCATTACTCCTTGTTTACCCTTAACATTTAACTTTAGATATGTGAACAAGAAGTTTAGCAATCAATATAAGGCAACAATAGGAGCTGATTTCTTGACAAAGGAAGTGCAATTTGAGGACAGGCTCTTCACTCTGCAGGTTATTTTTGCTTCTGCTCTTATCCCTCTGAATGCATAGTTGGTTTTTATGGTTGATAGGATAGTAGTCAAATTGAATATTTCATTGTTACTTCTTTTCTTTCTTCTTACTTCTGTTTTGCTATGTTTATATGAATAATTGCATGTGGAAAATACTCTCATGCTCAACTGCATGCTCAGAGGAGATTTCCTGTTTTTGGTTAATTGTTGTATGCTATGTAGAGGGTATTGATTTTGGTGAGCGAAGTTTCCCTACTGAATTTTACATGATTCTTTGTCTATTTTAGTCCTTCTATAATGTGTCGATAATTGATGATAAATTTGATCAAAAAGTAGGAATAGTTCTAGGGAAACATTATTTGTGCTCCAAAAAGTTATTTATGCACTTTGTAACTTTTAAGCACATGTTGTCCCCACAAGTGGGAGAAATAGAGTGCAACCTTGAATGTAGATGATAATTTCCTGATTTTTAGCATTAATGTTAGCTTATACTGCTGTCAAATTAACCAGGAGAGCACATGTTGGTCTTTAGAGGTTGGTCACTTTCTTGAGGTGAGGTTAGTTGTGTCTTTACCACTTGTCCCGCCTTTGGCTATGCTTTTCTAGACACTGAATTGACAAATGGTCTAGGGACTAATAAATTAAGCTTATTTGGTGGCATTATTTGGCTATGGGGTCAAGTGTATAATATACTTTGAAGTTTCCTTCATGACCTTTCCTCGTGAAACCATCCTAATGTTGCTTGTCATGATTGGAACCTGATTCAGACATCAGTTCATTGATGCATATTCAGAAAAGAAGAAGCTTGGAGCCAATATTTCATTGTTGTAATATATGATCACGTACAAAGAAGTTTACATTATAAACAAACTAAGAAATACTAATCGACACAACTAGCCCTTGAACTATGACAAATGACAAAAGAGGATAATAAACTCTAACACCCCCTCAAACAACTTAAGATGGGGAAGAATGAGCTAGATTGAGTTTGGAAACAAGATTTTGAAAATGGCTCAAGAGATGAGCTTTGGTGAAGACATGATGACGGATCATCGGTAGAAATGTGAAGTAGATGGATCATCTTACGTACATGTTGCCGAATAAAGTGATAGTTGATCTTGATGTGTTTTGTACATTCATGAAATATGCCATTGTGAGCAATTTGAATGACACTCCTACAGTCTCACCCGAGTGTAGTAGGAGAGGATTAGTTAGCATCCATATCCAAAAGAAGCCAACGAATATGCTAAATAACTCCATAGGTATTCACCTCTCATATATATAACACCATGTGTATAAAACCCCGACACCATGAATACCATACCATTTAGCACTTCTACCAAATAGGATCAATACGATCAAACAACGCCAAGACTCCATACATGCCAAATACGTCTGACTCGTATGCCTATGTATCCATTGCAATACAACTCAAATTACATGACCCGATTTGAATGATCAACACACTCAAAAACATGTAATCTCAAATAAATATGCAATGTATGCAAATCACGTTCAAATGTCACCATTAAACCATTTTTTGCGTAACAAAGTCCCAAAACATATTTGAACCAATTTCAAACCAATAAAGCCTCCAACTTACTTGACTACTCCATGAAAGTCAACATAAGTCAATAGAAACACATTTACTTCATAGTTATGCAATTTCATTTATCAACATGGGAATATATCCCAAAACTCTTACTTATTTCAACCATCCTTCAAAATGTCACACACTAGTGATTTGTATCTCCAAATGCCTCAAAACCCAAATATAACCATTTTCAAGGTTTTATGAAATCAAGTGTACCAAGAATGCTAACATACCAAATAATCCCAACATTTGATAAAATCACAAGGGACACATTTGAAAGCTCAAAATAGACATTTTTGACATCTACATAGTTTTCACAAAGTAACTTGAAACTCACCTTGCTATGTTAAGTTGAACCTAGATCCCAAACCCGAATCTTCAGCTACAAAAATGAAGGCTTGAGAGCCGTCAAGCAAGAAAAACTCCTCTAAGAACTTTCTCCAAATTTCAACCCAAGTCTAGAGGTGCATCAAAATCAACCACAATATTAGATCCATGACAAAACCCAATCTAGATCTTAAAACACCCAAAAAGCTTACCCCTTCAAAATCTTGAAATCAAACACCATAAATCTTCAATCTCTAAGATAATCAAACATTTGCTTAAAGAACATTCCATGATCTATCCCCAACGAGCCAAAATCTCCAAGAAAGGAAGAGGAGGGAGGTGGTGGGATAGAAATGAGAAAACCGTAGAAAAATCGGCTTAAAAACCGATTTGCACCACAAATGCGGGTTGTAGTGCGGCTAAACCCACACAAAATGTCGCCCCTACCCGAATTCGTGGGTAAACAGGCCCTAATGTGGATTGGTGTGGCTAAACCCGCATTGACCACTACTTTGACTCCCAGTTGCCCCTTTCTTAGGACATAATACAAAATCCACCCCATATCATTTCCCAACGATGTAACTTGATACACAATTCTGTTTAAGGTTAAAATATCAGATGGAATACAAATGTGTTACAAATAATCCATGGAATCTAGTACTTTTGAGGTAACGTAGAATACACCGAACAATGGCAGAATGATCTAAGCAAGGAGCAACCATGAACTATTACAATATGGACAATAAATGCGAGATCCAGTCGGGTCACTTGAAGGTAGGCTAACGATCCCACAAATTGACGATACAAAGTAGAATCACGAAGGGGGAGTCCAACACCTGATGCAAGATGAAGATTATGCTCAAGAGGTATAGAGGCAATGTTGCTGTCCGAGATACCAACACAAGATAAAAGATTTGAAATNAGTCCAACACCTGATGCAAGATGAAGATTATGCTCAAGAGGTATAGAGGCAATGTTGCTGTCCGAGATACCAACACAAGATAAAAGATTTGAAATGTACTTTGCCTCGCATAAGTAGATAGCAACCTCAAGACCAAAAAAGTAGTGGAGAGTACCAAGATCCTTCATTTCAAAACAGAAGTTGAGAGATTGTTAGAGGTGTAAAATACCTGTAGTGTCACTTCCAGTGGTGATTATGTCATCGACATACAACAAAAGAACTTTTTAGTACGAGTAAAGACCTAGAGTCATAATGACTAGAAGAGAAGCCCAATGAAAGAGTTGTAGTGCTGAATTTATCGAACCATGCACAAGATGCTTGTTTGAGACCATAGAGAGCCTTTCATAGCCTGCAAAACCCTTTGGAGGAGAAATGTCTGGTACGCTGTTTTAAGAGAGCAATACAATAAGTCTTGTCTAGATAAAACTGGAGGCTCACAAGAACCATCATACTATTTGAACTAACTATCAACATGTATGGAGACAAATTAAAGCAAAGAGATAAGCAATATCACAAAAAAACTACCCAATGTCTAGTAACAACCGCATGAAATCCGGATTTCCAAAACCGATCTCCATCACTGAGAATGTAGGTACAGATATTAAGCAAGTGCCTAAAAATAACGCCCATCCGAACAGTTCAATCTTCAAGAAATGACAAAACAGTGTTTTTGGGTTTTGTCAAATACTGCAGCCAAAAAATCTCTTTTTTCTTCTCTCACAAGCTTTCTTAATTTTGTGAACTCTATTTTAATAAAATCTCTAAAATAAAAGATGATATACATCTCTTGTATTTGGCCAATATGTTTGGCTAATTAGTTTTTCTCATGGGTAGAAATAAATTATCCCTTTTTTGACTATGAAGAAGAGTTTGCCATCCTGGCGAGCACTCAACATATTGTCAGCTTTTCCCTTGCTAAGCTTTTGTCAACATATTGGAACCATTATCAGCTGTATGAACTTTATCAAGTTCAAGCAACCCAACTTCAAGAACGTATGTAATCCAATGATTCTTGACGTAAATATATTTTGTTCTTTTATGGAAAAAATTCTTAGCAAAATGAATTGCACTTTGATTATCAACAAGAACCATGCAGTGTTGTTGTTTGAAGTCAAGCTCCTGCAAAAATCCTTTCAACCACAATAATTCTTTACAGGCAAAAATCCTTTGTTTCTGATTTGGGGTCAATTATTATTGCATTTATAGTACCTTATCTCAAAGGTTCATACGAGTCGGGAAAGGTTTGTCAAACGAAGGTTTATTCCGCAATTGGTGTTCACAGTTGTGACGTTTTCCCATCAACCTTCTCACCTGATGCAAAGATGTCTTTTGTCTGCATCTTTATTGCCCTTATTGATATTCAATGCCTTTCTACCAACTTGACATCAAGATGTCTTTCTTAATGTTATTTTTTATGATGAGGTGTTTATGAAGCAGCCACCAAGGTCTATCGTCTTCAAAGATCCTTATATGGTCTCAAACAATCTCCAAATACATGGATAGATTTTCATAGGTTCTCTGATATTTTTACTGATCTACAGTGTCTTCGATATTTTCTAGTGATTGATGCGGAATATTTGTTATGCCAAAGGAATCATTTATTAGATTTACCCTCTGAGTGTAGGTTGTGGGTTGCAAACTCACTTATGGTTGGTAAGTTATTACTAGAGGATGGGAAGCTTTTGTAGATGAAATATACAACTTGTTAGGAAACTTAATAATGCGACTATTGCATGAGATCTGGTGTAGGTAGTCAATTCATGCTTTCCCCTTACACAGATCCCTTGGATGTAGTTCTTATTTTGAGGTATCGAAAGGCTTTTTGTATTCTGATGCCGCTGTAGAATTGGTACCTTTTCTGAGAAGGGTTCTGGAAATGCATGATTCTAAGATGCAGATTGGACAGATTTCCGTTTTCTAGTCAATCTATCACTACCTATTCTGGTAGGTGGAGTGTTAGGATCCGAATGTTGATCAAGTAGTGTGTTACCTGGTCCAGTTCACGTGGAATAAAATTCCTGGAAATCAGGAACAACTAGCTGTAGTTGGATGTTTCTTTTTTATCCCTTTTTGTTAGGCAGAAATTTCATCTCGTGGAAAAGCAAGAAACAACAAACTGTATCATGGTTTAGTGCTGAATCCGAGCACCATGCTATGACAGATATCTCCTCTGAGTTGATATGGACCAAATGACTATCACATGAATTAGGGACTCCTACAAATAAACAATTGAGGCTATACTTAGATGATTAATCTGCCATTGGTATGGCAAAGAATCAAGTTTTTCATGAGATGAGCAAACACGGTGAAGAACACTGTCATCTTGTGAGGAACTAGATCATGGGTGCTCCTACTGCTTCTCAATTTTATTCAACGAGTTCATACTGAGATCAACTTGCAAACTAGTGAAACCCTTGTGGAAGTTTTAGATAGACTTCATTTGCAGCAAGTTGAGCTTGATTGACATCTGTGTTCCAATTTGAGGAGCATGAAGAGAGTCATGATGATTCATAACTCTCTAATGTTTATCTTCTGTTTATTTTGGTAGGTTAGCTTTATCTTGATCCATCTTGTAAGGAGGTTTTCATTCTCAATTGTAGATGAGTTTTCAGCTCAAGAAGTTACATCTTTGTGGATGAAAAACGTTCTTAAAACTCTTCTTTGAGAAGAATTTGGATTGAATTTGAGATTGATGAATTTGAAACATTTTGATTGGTTAGTCAAACATTCTTGAAATATTCTACTAACTCATCTTTGACTAACCAACCAGAACGTTGCAAACCGGTCGATCCCAAATTCTTTTCTCATATATTCTATGCATAAAATATTCTTGAATTCGGGATCGACGAGTTTGCAACATTTTGATTGGTTACAAACTTTCTTGAAATATTTGGTAATGCACGCAAATCGTCACTGGGAGGGCTCGCACAACGGGCTATTAGCTCAGTGGGTAGAGCGCGCCCCTGATCTCAATTGGTCAAATTCGAAGCACATATCTCCTTCGAGTGCTCATCATGACATCAGTCATTTGCTTTTGCACCCATAGTACATCTTTAGCACGAGATTTTTGAGTTTTTTGCTTGTCTACCATTTCACCACCAAGACTGTTCTGAATTAGTGGATGCTGCCAAAGGGAGCGGCGATGCCATATGCAAAAGGGAAGAGACTCGTAGACTAGCAGAGGCAAATAAAGCTTTTGCAAATTTTCGTTAATCCATGAAAAATCTTTTGTAAACTGACTTCTGTTTTTGCAGATCTGGGATACAGCAGGACAGGAAAGATTTCAGAGCCTTGGTGTTGCTTTCTACCGCGGAGCAGATTGTTGTGTCCTAGTGTACGACGTGAATGTTCAGAAATCCTTTGATAGTCTCAACAATTGGAGGGAGGAATTCCTCATCCAGGTGTTTCTTTATAAACCAAATCCCAATCCCAATCCCACCCAAAGAAGCACATTCCTTTGAATTTTGCAATTGTTTTGTATTGTCGATGAATGTTATTTCCGGCAAGTTGTGTTACGAATTGATGACTAAGAAATACCTTGCAGGCAAGTCCTTCAGATCCAGAAAATTTTCCGTTTGTGGTTCTGGGTAACAAGGTTGATGTAGACGGTGGCAACAGCAGAGTGGTATGCCTGCTTTGAGTTTTCACTTGGGGATTTTATGACAATACAAGATTTCTTTTTTGATGTATATAATATTTACATACGGCAAATACTCACTTTGGTGAAATTTGAACCCTTGACATCCTGAGAGGCTGGACTTTACCGGTAATCTGGGTACCACTAGGCCAACAGCCCTTTGGTGATTGAACCACAAGGGTTGTGGTGTAATGGTTGAGGTCTTGGGGGATGTGGTGGAATATCCCATCTGCCCAGGGTTCAATTCCAGGCGTTCGCAACAATTGTGGCCACTGAGTTTATCAAGGTTGATTTCGTACGATCACAATTTTCTGGGAATTAGTCCAGGCATAGCCATCCAAAAAGAAAACCTTTGGTGGCTGTACAATATTCTTTTATCTCATTTGCCCCCAACGTCAATGGCTTGCTAACAGGTATCTGAGAAAAAAGCCAGGGCTTGGTGTGCCTCAAAAGGCAACATACCATATTTTGAGACCTCTGCAAAGGAGGGAATCGATGTTGAAGAAGCTTTTCAAGTTATTTCAAAGAATGCCTTGACTATTGGAGATGAGGAAGAAATGTAAGTTTGAAACCAACTTTCTTTACCTGTTTTTAGAAGCAACAAATGTATAATCACATGTATGATCAGTACACCCCTTCATTCATAAAAGGTAGGGACTCTTTCTCATGCACTTCCAAAGTTTAAGTGATCATCTTTGTTGGAGTCCTACTTCAGCTATACCTTGACAATTTATTCTCAATATTTGTTGGAACCTCCCTTTTCTCCCTAAGTGCTCTCTTTGAGAATAATCAGATGGGGTTCTACAAATCTCACATGGTATATAGCCAAAATCTACCACTCTAAGGGACTCACTCTGTGACATTTGTACCCGTCTAGTCTCAGTTGAAGTCCCACATTGGCTAAACTTGAAACCCTTTCTTCTCGATATATGTTGGAACCTCCCTTTTCTCCTCAATAGCTCTTTTTGAGAGTAATCTGATGGGGTTCCAAACATCTCACATGGTATCAGAGGCAAATTCTACCACTCTCAGGGACTCGCTTCTCTGGGGACTGGGGCATCCATACCCTTCTAGTCTCCAGAGTCTCACATTGGTTAGACTTTAACCCTTTCTCCTCGATATATGTTGGAAACTCCCTTTTCTCCAATTGAAGAACTCTTTTGGGGAGTAATTAGATGGGGTTCCACATATATCTTACAAGCTTCTTGTGGAAAGGAGGAAGATGCATTATAAAAGTGCTCTTCTTATGGAATAATAGCTTAATTAATTGGATTAGTTCATTAAAGAAGAATCAATATGAAGACGTAAACTATCAATACTGCACAAAATTCGGTCAGTAGTCGCTCAAGTGGTGTTTAAGACCTGCACCGTTTGGTGATCTGTATGGTTCGTGTTTTAAGACACGTTTTGGATGCTTGTTTCACAGATTTTTCTTCAGTAACTTGCTTTTATGTTCCTTTTCCACATCAATCAAAAACCAACTTGGGTAATATGTTTCAACAGTTTGGTTTGATTGCATGGAGTTCAATTACAGTTGCATGCCTAATTTGTTGTGGGAGATTATTGGATAACAAGATTTTTGGTACTAGAGAATGTAAAATTTAACATGATATGTGTTTGTTTGTGAAGATATGTGCCGGACACCATTGATGTAGGGAGCAACAGCCAACAGAGGGCCTCCGGATGCGAATGCTAAAAGCAAATATGAGAGATTCTTTTGTGTAAAATTTACTGCTTATCGTTCCTTTTAAGGATGTTGTGATCTTGTAAGTTGATATTGATACCCATTTATGGGAAAACACAAATTGGATGTCATGACAAATATTCTTCATGAATACTTACGAAATTGGTGGTTTCTCTATAGTTAAGGTTCCTAAATAAATCCCTATCTCTCTCTCTCTCTCTCTCTCTCTCTATATATATATATATATATAGGGTGGTAATCATTTGACAATCCGGTTATTTGTGAAATTTGTGAGATCTAACTACATGTATGGGTTCAGTGAGTAATCACATTTCATATCTAGGTTTAATTTTTGAAACATAGACAGTCATGCTTTGCAAAAATCAATAAGTATTAACAATATGAATTGCCATGATTGAGTTTAATGTTTGAAATAGAAAAACATATTGGCCTGGGTTTGGTAATTAATTACAGTGTGAATGGTAATTATGGATTCAACATGTGATTGTCGATGGATTTCACAGTTTTTACAAAATACAAAGTTCTCCTATAAATAGTCTCATATGTATGTATATATAGAGAGCCAGAGGGGCAGGTTTAAGGAAAAACAAAAATGAAAAGCTGAGAAACACATTAATAACTATTCATTTTTAAGGGTACATTTTCATACAAGTAATTTGTCTTGTACGCACATGTTCATAACATGCACACTTGCATTAAAACCAAGAACATCTTTAATCACTTGTATACACATTTGCATATCATACAAATAAAAAGTTACGAGGATGTTTCTCAGTTTTTTTATTTTTTTGGATTAAAATAATAATTTTGTGGTTTTGTCCAACGTTGTTCCACCTTTTTTATAGAACAAAAAGATCTGGTTTTGTCCCAACTTGTCGCACCTCAATTTTATCCCATGTCAAACATGGAAGAAGCTGTTCTACCCTAAGATGAAGAACATGTTTTGTTTGATTTTACTAAAAGATAATACGGTTTATGAATCAACTGAATCTTAATATCAAGTACACAGCCTTTCAAATTTTAGTACCAGGTGGTGTTATGCACAAATTAAAATCCTAATATCACAACCTTCATTTTGGTTGATGTCATCTCACCAAAGTGATCTTTAGGGGTTGTTTGTTTACCTCTTAATAATTCCATTTAAAAAGAGAATCTTGTTTGACAAAAAAAAAAATCTGCCTCTTAATGGTTTCAAAACCATCTAAATGATTTTGTATCCTACGCCTCCCTTAATCATTCAGCGCCCTAGTTTCATTGTAAACAGTTACCAAACAATTTTATTTCATTTTAAACTATATCATGAGAGCTTCTTAATCATTCTGCACCAAATCATTCAACAACTACCAAACAACCCCTTAGTCATGTAAACAAGTTCAAAGTCCCCTTCCCCCCTTAAAAAACAATGTTGACATTAGACAAAACAGAATCTTGAACAACACTGATTCGGATTTGTGAACGAAAGTTCAACGTCAAGCATACCCTTCTCCATAAAGATCTTGGCTTTTAACAATAATCGGAATACACCGAGTGTCTATAGCCATAAGACATACAATACCTTAACAAGATAATAATACTCCAAAAGACAGTCTACTTTCTGACCATAAACCCCAAGTATATCTACAAAACATAACATAAAACATGAAAATCTAACTAGTTAACTTCCATTGATACTACTACTAGCTTAATTAGGCACAGATGCATGATAGGATGAGGTAGTTCAGAGATGTTGTAAAAAAGTCAAAATAACCCCCTCCCTCTGATTGTACCAATCTTCAAATCAATCCAGATCCTCAATTTCATAGCTTTACCAATATGCAATATTGCCTGCCAATCAGAAATTCAACACTTCAAGCATATTGTCCTACTAGTGAATAAGATTAAGATTAAGATTAAGAAATCAAGCGGATAACTCACTTGGTAATAGTTGTTAGGACTACTTGTGGTATAACAATAATACAAGGTTGGTGCCAAATTTCACTTCATCCCAACCGATGAGAGTTTATCCGGGTTGTTTGAAATCTGAGCTGAGTTTCCCGCAACTGTGCTAGGTATAATTGGGTTAGAAAAGGGTGTCGGTGCCATCATTGGTCTTGAGAGTGGTGGCCTTTGAGGAGTCATGCTCATTGGACTTGGTGGCCTTTGTACAGCATTTGGAAACGGCATTCCACCTCTGTTGGGTAATGGATGCGGCATAGGTCTGGTAGAAGCGGCAGATGACATGCCCAGCCTGGCAGCGATTATTTGGGCACGTTCATGGTAAAGTCTTTGCTTTGACCTTTCCATCTGTTCCCTAACCCTCGCTACAACACCATCCATCTCGGTAAAGAAAGCCAACTTAGTCTCCAACTTGTGCAGCTGCAGAATGAAGTTACACAATAATTATCACTTTAGAGTCCAAGCAAGAGTCTTGTTATTGTTAAATATTGGGCAAACTGCTTCAAAATGCAACAAAGTCTGGTTTAGCAGCCCATTTGATGTAACGAAAAAAAAAATCTGTAACAAAGTTCCAAACTTCCTATTTTGGCTGGTAACCTGCTGATCTTGTACCATTTAATGTCATGGATACTCGTTTACAAAAGGTTTATGAAAGGGTTAAAGCAAAGTGGACAAAAGGATTGACATCCACGACATCAAATGCCAAGTTACCAGTCAAAAAGGAAAAAAAATAGAAAATTTTGAAACTGTATTACATTAAATAATAAATTTTGAAACTTACTTATGCTGGAGAAAGAAAATCTTTGTTACAGCAAACATGGTTGCATTTTGCCCTTAAAAATTCAGAGAAACTGGTCAGTAACTAATTTACCTGCTTCTCTATTAACGATGTGGCAAGCTGTCTAATCTGGTCCTCTTCCTGGTCTGCCAAGAATTTTGCCTTAACTGCTGCAGCAGAGATGGCAGTGACAGCTGCACTTGTTAATTTATGCATGTCTGGGTCATCTTTAGTGTCTAGTGGGTGTTTGTTCACATTCTTACAGTCTTTTGCTCCTGCCTCCTCTACATCATTAAACATAATCAATCAACTGAATTACAATTTAGAAGACAATTTCAGACAAGAGTCTAACATTAGGATGACTCTAGTCACTTCAACTTTAAATAATAATAAATAAAAGGTGCAAATGTGTTAACAAGTTTGTAAGACGAGCATGAAAATTGAAATGGACATTCGACGGGAAGATAAAATATACGGTATGTCCGACTCCAACTTCCCAGGCATCAGAGAAGTAGAGTACAAACTTCCCAAGTTCTAGGTGAATTTATTACTGTTAAACATCATCTGCAATTTTTTTTTATTAATCATTGTTATCTGAAGTATCATTGTAAATGTTCAAGAAATCAATAACTCTACTGCAATAGGAAACTAGATGAAACCTGAGTTTGCAGTGTTTTCAGCCAGTGAAGTGTTAGATTGGTGAGGCTCTGCTGTCTCTGACGGAAGGGATTTAGATACCATCTCCTCATCTTTTGGAGCCTCTGTAGAACGAGAGACCCCTAACGGTGGACCACCATCAGCAGAACCTTCAGACTCCTTTTTAGAACTTGAAGGATTCTCGATTTGATCTGTTTGCTCATTAGTTTCTGCAGCAATAATTGCCTTCTCGGTAATTGGATCCTTGTCTTTCTTTGAAGAAGCAGAAATGCCCTTTCTACCAACATTCTTGCCTTTCTTGGGAAGCACCACTTCTGCTGGAATAGGATTTTTCTTTTCTCCATGAGAAACAGAAGATTCTTTCTTACCTTCCTTGTCATTATCATCATTTACTGAACTGTCACTAAGAATTAAGCTAGACTTTTCTTCTTCCTGCTTCCTGCTAGAATCTGTCTTGTCTTTCATGCCCTCTTGCTCCACCTTTTCTTGGACATCTCTGCATACCCATGTAATGTCAGTTATATTTCTAACAGATTATTTAAATATGATTCTACAGGTTTATTGACCTCTCTGTGTTATCTGGTTTCTTCTCATCTGTTGGATGTTCAATAACAAAGGAATGCCTTGCAGAGAGCTGCAAGCCAGTGCCACCACTAGAAACAGATTTCAGAGAAGTACGGGCTGAAGCAGTGACAATATTGGGATCCACCAACCGACTCAAGAATGCTGCCTGGAAAAAGGAAAACCAACATACTAACTAAACAGAGGCACCAAAGTCGAGCAAATAGATAAGAGAGCTTTTATTCAAGCCTTCAATTTTACTTTCCTTCTGGGGTTTAGAGATCACCAATGTTTTAGAGCATATTATGTACATCATACATGGTCATTCTAGTAAAGCATTATGGAACTTATTTCTGGAACTCCCGAATTTATCCTTAGTTTTGGCCCTTGAGCCCACATAGTAAAAAGTTATAAAAATAAAAAAGTGAGCAATGCCTATTTCTTTCCTAGTCTCTAGTAGATATCTGAAAAAGTTCCCAATGTTTTACCCACATGCTCAACCCTACTTATTGTACTTGACCACTAAACTTTTTAAGAGCCAACAAGCCACCAGTTCTAAGAAAATCCTAAATGGCACCAGTCCAATACATTTATCATCTTGAGAGAACCAAAATAACATTATGATTTGCTCTCCATGTTGGATATTCATGCATTTCCTACTATTATATCATACATAAAACACAAATTGCATTTCAGAAGTTTCTGGAACTCATATCTCTTGATTGGTTTTAGTTATCAGTTCTAATAAGCATTTAACTTACCATTGCCATGACAGGGTTGCCAGCATCAGCAAAAGAAAGTTTCCCATCATGGGAAGGACGAGAACCCACAGCATCAAATGCTTCTCTGAGTGCTTTCACTGCAATGTTCACACCATTCTCCTGATTATCTTTTAGTTTATCAGGATCCGCTGATTCTGAAATGTCCATCGGAGAGGGATCAGGTTCATCATTATTGGATGGAGCATCATCTGGAGGCAAAGCATCAGTATTGAGGAGGGCCTTAGGATCATCAGTTTCTTTCATATCAGGGGAATCACCGAGAGGTGTATCATTCTTGATTGCAACTGCATCTGTTTTTTCCTTCAAATTTACATCAACTTCTACTTTGTCCACATTTTCCTCTGGACTTGCATCAACTTCTTTTTTCTCATCATTTTCATCGGGACTTGCATCTTTCTTCTCAGCTTTTTCCTTGTTACTTGCATCATCTTCATCATCACAGTCCCGGAAAGTATCTTCAATTGGCATTTGAACAAAGTGCAATATACACTGAGCTTTTGTTTTTGTGGCCACATGTTCAGCAATCTCATTCCAGTTCTCACTGAATAGTTCCAGGGCTTCAAGAAGGAGCAGTGTCTCTTGGTCTGTCCACTTCCCACTACTTGCCCCAGCAGCATCAGCAGGCTCCATAATAATGAAATCAGATGGGGACATATCGGAATCAAACTTGCCGTCGTTGAAGCAATCAGTACATAAGTCAAAATCTGCCTGCCTAACAGAAACTGAATCAACATAGAGCAACAACTGTGGTAACAACATAAACAGAGATGATATAGATGATACAGCCGTAATATTGGACAGGGAAGTGCACTTAAGTCCTTATCCAAAGGGCTTAAGCTTAGTTCTTTATTTTGTGTCTTTATTCTAGTACAGTTTCTCTCTCTAGCTAATTTCCTATGTGGTTACATAACAAGGTTTACATCCCCACTTGCATTTATCAGAATCCTGCATCCAATGAAGAAAAAACATTGAAGATCATCTTTGGTACTATACAAATCTAGTGTTTTACGAACTGTACTTAGTTGGGGATACCAAGTACATGAGTGGATAGTAGGTCACAACAAAAGTGATGGATATATCATGTGCTGCAAGAGAACTGTTCTATCAGAAAAGCTAATAATGTTACTAAACCCCAAAGAGGCCTCATTTTGACATGACAGTTGACACCATGATCTTACCAATAGACACTTTATCCATTCATATGAAAACTAGAAAAGAACCAAGTACTGGTTCACATATGCCTACATTTGCTTGGGAATAACAAAAAAATAAAATAAAATGTCGAATCCCACTGAATTGAAACAAAAATTTGTATTGGACTACACGATGGTTCAGTTATTTATGCCAATACTTTTGGGCCATTCCGTTCAGTTTTGTCTTTCCAAAGTCTTTTAACCAAACAGAAGCATGTGTGTGAGTTGAATTTGTTTTACAATGGTTGGAACTTGAATTTTAATATTGACTGATCTTTTTATTATATTTCATGGGTGTTCTTGTGATGGTATTTGAATTACCCTTGGTTGAATTTTTGACTATGTTAATATTATTTGAAGGTTGGAAAGATGAAAAACTGAATGCATTCCATCTCTTAGGCCAAAACCACATGACAAAATTAAGACTACCATGGTTTCACTCGGTTGGCAGTTCATAAATACCCTAAATTGACTTGGGCAGTAAGTTCTGCAGGTAAAAGAACAGAATGAAACAGAAAACATGAGCAGGCCTACATTGGCTGCATCAAGTTCTACATGTGACCATGCTTTTAGATTCTGCTATGCTCATGTTAGCATTGGATGAAAGATTATCTTCCATCCAATCTACTTATAGCATGACAGACTTCTCCTTATCTTCCAAAGCCTATCTCCTATTTATCTATTCTTATTTTATAATCTTTTTTTCTTTCTAATTGATCCAGAATTTTAGGCATAAAAGCTCGTGGTTTCTACATAAAATTCCATTGCCATATGAGATGAAGTCTTTGTACTTGAGTTTGGGCTTTAGGATATGAATGAATTAAAGATGCGGTGATTATTATCGGTTTTCATTTTACTTGAATGATGTTGACCAAACTGTTTGCCTAATCTAAGGATTGGATCTGCCATCTCTTAATCACAGTAAACAAAAAGCAGGCAATAGTTATGCAAGGAAAACCAGCCAATCAAATAATCAAAAACATAACCACCCAAGCTTGACAAAGGCACAAACATCACAGGCCACTAAATAGGTGTGTGATATCGTTGCGCATATCTGTATATACATATATAAGCTCCTTCAAATCTGTGCATGTGAGAAGCATGTTGAAAACTAGCTTTCACATTAATTTTCCGCTTAAATCTAAAAGATTGGAACAGTCAGATTTATCCTGTTAATAAGGTTTAGCGAAGGACAAGTAGATGCAATCCTTACCAAATCCTTAACATCACAAACTCCTTTGGTAAAAGAGAAAGAAGTTCAAAGGATATCCAGCATCCCTCGCTACGTTTGTGGTTAGTTTGTTAACGATGGATGAGAAGAAACCACTTCCCTTTTCTTTTCTTGTCCCTTAAATTTCAATCCAAGCAAAGCATCATTAAGAGAGAAGAGAAACCAAGTTCAAAATAGTGCATCTATTCATGTGTTTAGCTTGATTCAAAATGCATGGATAAGAATAGACGGAGATTCCCCTTTGTGTGTTTACACTTTACCCATCTACTTTTTATTTGACAAATCAGATATTGCAATTAAAAGGCATGAGTAGACACCTTTTGGTAGAAGGGTGTACCAAAAAAATTGAAGAGAACTAAATTGTCCTGATAAAATTATCAACATGGAAATAGAGAATTCTAAGAAACAACATACCTGCTTCTGGCAGTGGTAACGCTTACGAGAGCAATCAGCTGCACATGAATTGCAGTGATACTCAACAGATGGTCCCTCGGGCTGCACTGATTCATCAGTTATCATGGACTCTGGCAACCGGGATGGAACAGCAAGGGTTGCAAGACTAGTCCTGGGAGCTGCTGGTGGGCACAATTGCTCCACCTCAAACTCATACAGATTCTGTATCAATGAATTTACTTTTGCAGCTTCTTCAGCATCACCCATTGAGCTAGTGATATCTGCCTCAGGGAATGGATGATAATTAATCAACCCCCAATACTCTAAAAACTCCATCACCTCTTCCTTAGCATCCAGTTCTCCAATTGATATCTCAGAAAGATCTTTTGCCTCAATTTCAGTATTGGGATTGGCATGAAATCTTTTCATAATGGAGTTTCTTATCTCCATGTAAAGTTCAGGAGTCCGATTTTCCACTTCTCCATTAAAGAAAGAAGGCATTGCTTTCTCCTCCAACTGATGAACTTTTGTCCATGAGAACCAACCTACAAGACCCTCCGTGAATCAGTTGGCAGTAGATCATATGTGAGTCACAAAAAAGCTACAACATTCTATTCATCATCTCAGTAGTAATTCCCATGCCACAACACCATATTTAATAACAATAATGCAAACCAGAATATTAAAAAAATAAAGTATGCAACTCTTAACGAATCCCAGTTCCCAGAACATTTGCTGATCCATCATTTCGATTATAGGATGTCCGCAAAATTACATTCTACTATGCACTAATAATGGAACATGTCGAGTTTGCTATCTTATTTGCTAGCTCTAGCAAACCTAGGCACTGTATGCAGGTTAAGAACTCAACAACCCAAAAGCAATAAAATTTTGCTGCAACCAAGCTAAGCAAGCAGACTAAGAATTATAATTGTAAATGATTTAAACAAGCTACATTTACTTACCACAAGAAATCGGTACAACCTGGGAATTAGCATCACGCGCTTTTAAGTGGTCATATTCAGCTTCCATCTTCGCTTCCAACGCCTCCCAGGCTTCTTTCCTAGCATTCAATTCCTCCTCCACCTTCGCCGCCACCGGCGTCCCCAACATCGAACCTTCCCCTTCGCCATTCACAATCACCGCGTCCCAAAACGACGTAGAGTCAGCGTAATTTGGTTGTTGACGAGCTCTGGTGCACGGTCCATTGTGGATCGGAGGGAACAGCACCGGCGATGGTTTCTCACGAGCTTGACGCTTCGAAGACAACGACGGTGGCGGAGTCGATGTGTTGCTGTTGCTAAGAATCGAGGCTTTCCTCTTCAGCCCTCCGCCTCTTCTCCGTGAAGATGGTAGCTCCGCCGACGATGGTGTTGCCGCTTCGGTGGCGGTCGCCGGTGAATTGTGCTTCTCTTCCATTTTTAGGGCTCGTTTGGGAACGCACTCTGAAGGCTTAACAGGGTCGTCTTCGAAGATCTACTCACAACGCTGCTTTTTGATGTATTATTTTGTGTATCGCGTCTCATCATTGTTAAGGTGCTCAGCGTAAATCTATACCTTTAATTGCCACTGCATTCGGATCCGACGGTCACAAGAAATTCCCTTCAAAACCCAATTGAAAATCCCCTAAAATATCGTAAATCATCGTCAACTTCCATATAACATTTACAATTAGTTATTCAAATATATACTATATTATAAAATGTTTGATAAAAAAATTTTAAAAACCATTTTTTTTTCATAAAATACTGTTTATTAATGCATGTTACTTAAAACTCAAGATTATAAGTAGATTGTGCGTAAGTACAACTTATTAAAACTTCATATCTAAATTTGTGTAACTAACTRCAGATAAACATAATCAAATACAGGATAAATATCTTATTTTAAATATAAAAAATTTAAAATATAATTAGGATAATCATTGAATTCTAACATAATATTTAATTATTATATTTATAAAATACTAGAAGCGTACTCGCGCAATGCAGCGAGATACATCATGATTTTAATATTTTATTTCATTCTTTATCTCAGTCGATGTTATAATATGGCTTTATGTGATTTTGAGAAAGCGATGATGTTTTTATTTTTGAATAAAATATATGTTTGA